TTAATCCTGCCAAAAGAAAAACATATGTTTTTTGTTTATTGTTTGCCAACCAGACGCCATTTGGACAGGTCGTTGGATTGCCTAATTTTAGAATAAAAACATCATAAATTTTCGGAAATTCTGTTCTATTAATTTATTCCAGCCATCGACGATCCGAAATTTTGGAAATTTATTGTTGCTGTGACACTCTATGTGTTTATCTATTTTTCATTTAAATCCGTGACCAAAATTTGCATACTGTTGTCAACAAAATTGGTAATAATTTTACTATTTAGACTTTGCTAGCGTAGTTTGCAACCAAAAATGCTTCGACCCATACTCCAATCTATTATTGTTATGAACATAACTTCATTTCACTGAAAAGTGGTCTAAATTTGGAATTGAACAGAAATTTGTGAAGGTCTGTAAATGACATTTTATTTAAACGCCCCTCTTAAACCTCCCTCAAAGTTATTTGCAAATCATTTTAGGTACCCTAAACGGTGTATATTGATACTACCTATAACTTCCAGTACCATTTGTGCCCGAGACTCGGAAGGAAATATTCATATTTTCACAAAATCCTTTTTTTCCATGAATCGCAATTAATATTTTCACACCCTTAAGCCACCCTCAATGTTAGGTATTTGCAAGTCTTTTTAGGAACCCTAAACGATGTATCTTGGTACTGCCTATAACTTCCAGTACAATTTGTACCCGAGACTAGGGTGGAAATGTCCATATTTTCACAAAAACATTTTTTTCGATAAATCGCAATTAGGGGAACCCGCGGCAGAATGGCATACCTAAGATTTAAGAGGCCTTTGTTTCAAGGGATTTTGAAATTCCGGAACCAACTTAGGCTCAGACCCTTCTTTATTGTTTAGATAACACCCAAGAAAAGTTTGAGACGAATATTATTAGAAAAAAAAATTTTTTTGAAGCTCAAAAAAAAATTGTCAAAATGACCATTCTGCCCCGATTATGGGGCAGGGCAGAATGACCCATCTTAGGGCAGAATGGTCATTATTATTTGATTGATATGATTAAAATTATGAGAGCACTCATTTTGTTCGGCCAATTGGAACGCCAATCATCGAAAATCATATAAAGGTAATCCAAACACTCTAGACTCCATTACTTTCAAATATTCTACAAGCTCGAGCTCTTGACTAGCGGTGAAAAGTTTTTTGATCTTTAATCCAATTTTATCAATTTTATAATTTCCGTGATTTGTTTTTTTCTTTTGAACGTATCTTTTTGGGGTAGTTCGAGGAACATTATACTGTATCGACGCCTTTTTTAAACCAAATTCATCAATCACCATTAACAACAGCCTGAACAGCATTTTCCATAGAATTACTATCCCACTCTTGGCGTTCCGCTTTTCTGATATATATGAGCTGGGTTCGGCTTGCACACTCCGTGCACTCCGAGTACTTAACTCCGTTCGCACTCCAGTCGTTCGGGTATTGCTTTTTAACGAATCAGACAACGGCTGGAGTGCGAACGGAGTCACTCGGAGTGCACGGAGTGTGCAAGCCGAACCCAGCTATGATATACCGCATGCTATACACATTTTGAAAAAAATCGAAAAAATGAAAAAGAAAAACAAGCTGAACCCATTTAGGAGATATTTGAAATCCCCTTTAGACCGTTGTGACAAAAAAATTCAAAGCAGCCTTTATTTTTTATTTTTTTAATTTTCAAACCATCTCAGCCAGAAAACAAAAAGCCCAGGAGAAAAACCTTGAACACAAAACTTGTAGATCTCATTAAGACCTACAAAAAAGTTTATTTACAGGTATCCCTCCACGTGCACCGTTTTTGAGAAAATCGACTTCGAAACTTTCTACACATTTTCAGAGAAATTTCAAATTTGACGGCTTATATCTCGGAGACAGAAACAATCTGGAATATCAATGAAAAACAATTTTGTAGGTAATTTAATCCTCTTTCGAAATAAATTTGATTCAAGAGAATCGGTTCAAAAATACCGAAGTTATAGGCGAAAATCTGGCGCCGTGTCCGATCCCCAAAATGTTCCAGAATCAAATTTTTTTTTTTTTGCGGGCTTACGAAGCGTCGGAGCGAAAAGAGCATAGAGATATTTTCGACGTATTTTTTGCTCCTCTATCCAATGGTAATTTTTTGAAATTAGGAAAAGTAAATGCAGGGTGTGTATACCCTATTACACGCCCTTTTTCAAAATTGGGAGGATAGGGGTTAAAACCCCTCCGGTAGGTCGGAGAAGGCTGAAACTTAGAATATCAACTTTTTTAGACGCCTTCTACCTACATTCCGAATTATGTCCGAATCGGTCGAAAAAAAAATTTCAGGGGCCCCCCAGGAGGCTTTACTTTTTAGATAGGAGCCCCCCGTATTCGATAGAGCTCCCGCTCCACTATATACGTACCAATTTTTAGCTTGATCGGACCGTCGGTTCGGCCTCACAGGATTTTTGAAAATTAAATTCTCCCATCGGTGAGGGCCAGGGAAGGAAAAAACATCTCCAACTCGGTCTCAAAGAAACCTCGGGTCATCATTTTTAGATCGCAAAGATCAAGATATCCCCCTTAAAAAAAAATCAAAAATTCCTTCCCCCCCCCATTCGATAGAGTAACTTTTTCTCTACAACCCTACAAAATTTCAACTTTCCACTCCCAGCCGTTTGGGGGCTGTACCGGGGCTAGAAGTCAAAACTTTGACAGCTCCCAGGGGAGGAGGGGGGGGGGGGACGATAATTGTTTTGGCTCGACAAAATTAAAAGTACCAAGTCCCCTGAAAATTTCAACTTTCTATCTTATTGGAGAATGGGTCAAACATCGCGCGCGGGAATCGTTTATAGTAGATATGTAAGATGCGGTGTTGGCATATTTCAGCAACTAGTAGAGATAGAATTTTGAAAATTTGGAGTCTTGGAAATCTGGCAACATTGCCGATAGCACTGTTCAATCCTGCAGGCCCAAAAACTGTCAGATTTCGAATTGTGTGAACGCGGCTTAAGCGGTTTTGAAGATATTAAAGCGTTGCAGTATACTTTCTACTCTACTAACCCTGTATGTTCGGACCATCTGCATGATAACAATTATTTTATAATTAGTTCAAAGACGACATGCGTGAATCTCTTATAATTAAAAGAAATCTTATGACTGCTTGCTAATTTAATGCGGGGGTTATCGACGCCCGCGTGCCGAATAGTTATTTATGTATCAAGGGTACTAAATAGAAGATTATGCCCTGAGGGCGACAGTCTTACAAAGCCGAGGGCCCCTGGCCCGAGGGTTCGTAAGTCGTCCGAGGGTATATATCTATTAGTACCCGTGGTGCCTACAAACTTTTATGTCATACCAGTTGGCTGGTATAATAAATATATATTTTTGTAAATAAAGAATAAGTTAATCGAAAACTGTTTTTTGCGTCTTATTGCGGCGCGGGCCAGAATGTTTACTTTATGCCCGCGCGGGCCATAATGTGCACTTTATGCCCGCACGGGTATAAAGTAATGAATTATGTAGATGGTATCTAAGGTATAAAAACACAATAATGTACTGGTATGACATAAAATATTTTGGCGCCCTTTAAAGGGGGATAGGGCAAGGTCAAGAATTTATGTAGGAGTGGTTGAAAAAATATCAGCAACTTTTATTAAATGGGGTGTGACCCTAAAAACGACTTAAGCTACTTAAATCAAGAAAAAAAATCTAAGATCTCTCGTGAAAACCGGAAGAATGAACTTCCGCCACGGACGCCATTTTGGAATAATTTTGATAGGTCCTTGCAATGCCTGAGTTATAATCCAGGAGGCAGTGAAATTTTTTAGCACTTATTTTCCCAGTTGGTGTATATTAAATAGTTTGTTCTCCTGGTGATACAAAACAAGAATTTTTGAGTCTGCGGCTAAAATTTTCGGATGGGTTCACAAGATCAATGAAAAATACAAGTACACTTATTTTCCCAGACATAAATATTTCACATTTACTACAATAGAACATAAAGTATAGGAAAATAGCAATTTGGCTTATCTCAGATAGTGAAAGTGAGTCTGGCTGAAAACTTTCGAATCAATTTTCACTTGCCAGACATAATATTATCCATACTCACAGATTAGCCGGACTATTTTTTTACGTAACTTCAGTAGACTTCTGATTAGTAGACCTATTTTTATCATTGAGAAAAAAAAGGGCCGTGCATTCTTAAGCCTTAACGCCTTTTGCGCCTCAACCCATCGGAAAACCCCCCCTAAAAATATATGTATTTTGCTTAGAATTACTAACCCTACAATTCTATCCATATTGTCTGACTGGGAAAATAAGTACCGAAAATCGTCACTGCCTCCTAGACATAAGGCGATTTCGATTGACTATTTTGGTTGCGGTTGGTGCCTATTCCGTTGTGCCCCGGTATGCCGTTCTGCCCCGAGTTCCCCTATTAGCCATAACCCCTTAAACCACCCTCAAAGTAATTTGCAAGTCAAGCGAGGCTCCCTAAACGGTGCATATTGGTACTGTCTATAACTTCCAGAACCATTTGTACCCGAGATTAAGGTGGAAAAGTCTAGATTTTCACCAAAAACCCTTTCTTCGATGAATCGCAAATATTAGTTTTAACTCCTTAAACCACCGCCAAAGTAATTTGCAAGTCAACTGAGGTTCCCTAAACGGTGTAAATTGGTACTGCCTATAACTTCCAGTACCATTTGTACCCGAGACTAGGGTGGAAATGTCTAGATGTTCACAAAAACCCTTTTTTCGGTATCGCAATTATTAGTTTCATCCCCTTAAACCATCCTCAGAGAGTTTCAGGTACCCTAAACGGTATATCTTAGTACTGCTTTTAATTTAATTTAAGATTTAAGGCTCAGGAAAAAAATGTTGCTACTGTCACCCTTCGAAATGTTAGTTTCATATTCCAAAAAGCTCGCTTGGAGTTTTAAATGGAGCGAACAAAAAAGTCAAATTGCAATAGGACATTTCCAAATATTCTCAGACATGCAGTACTTATATCCACTAAAAACTCACCTAGTAAGATATTTATTAAAATGGAACTCCTTTTCAAGCTCCGTGAGTTGCTTATTAGTAAAATTAGTCCTGCCAGTGTTGAGGCAATTTATACTCAATAGACTAGAAGCGTTGGAGCCCAAGCACGACCTATTCGCAGGATTTTGAGGGTCCAAATTGGGTCCACTTTGCACTACCTTCGAATACTCAGTTATAGTCGCCGGCGATGGTAGTTTCGGTGCTGGAACAAAAAAAAAAACTTATCAAGCTAAAAATAAATAAGTGAAAACAAAAAAAAACTTTCCCCCCTTATTTTATAAAGTAAACCGTGTTACATGTCACCCAACTTTATCTGGCATCGTGTCGAGCCGATTTTTCAGAAAAGTTCGTAACATGGAAACCCGTACCCACGATATCTCCAGAGAAATCTATAAGTTGAAAACTATAAGCACGGGGCTTCGCATTAATTATTTTCAATATTATACAAAACTGACAGCGCTGATATAAACAAGTTGATATTATAATTTTAATGAAGAAGCTTTTATACCTGGAACTAAAATTTTTTTTCTTCAGCTTTTCTGTAGAGGATAATATCATTATCGTTGACTAGGTCATGAATAATGAATAATTACTAATGCCGGCCTGTCAACTATAGAATTTCAATCAATACTAATTAGTGTAACATAATTATTTATTTATCGAAAATCAATTAATTTATTTCAGTTGTCGATAACAGCCACCTGTCCACATTGAGTTTGTCTATATGTATATAATTTTTTTAAAAGTAAGTACTTCAAGGGGTTATTGAAAAATCATTTGAAATCCTAACAAAACAAAGACAAATATTATTACAGTGAAATACACAATTTTCCACCTACAGAGGGGGCAGCTGTATTTAATATTTGATTACCTTCTTGAGTTACATTACGTTACGGTTCAACGGGAAAAAAAGATCAGATTTCACTTGAATAAGTATAAAAATACCGTCCGATAATAAATTTGATAAATTAAACGCAACAACAAACAAAGATAACTACTGTCCGTTAAAAGTCTTATCGGTGTCAGCTACGAGCTGACAGCTAGTTTCTCAGCGATATTATACATTATGCATTTCTCATGAATATTAACAAGGCCATACATTTAATAAAGATATTTTCCACCGGAGCGTCGGACAGAAGTAACGAGGAAAACGCGATAATGGAATAAAATATCAATGTTTGCTTTGATGGAGAAAATAAAGAAAGGTTGGAATTTATAGGGAAATATGAATAAATTGTTACGGATTCTGGGTTCACTAGAACTCACTAATACAAACAGTAACTAGTTTTATTAAACTAAGTACTTAATGTTGATGTAAATAACAATTCAGATGTATGAAATCCCCTTTCTGGTAGCTAACGCCAGCATCTGTCTTCTGTTTAGTGTAGAATTTAGGTTGTGTTCCGTATGTCAACTGTCAGTCAGTCAGCTGTTTTTGTTCCAAGTCGAGTCGTGTGTTACAGGTTATGTAATGTTGTAACGAGTTGAAGTTTGTTTTAAAAAAGTGTCTTTTGTTTTCAGTAGTTCAGTAGTAATTTAATAATAAACTTTAGTTGTGCGTTAAGAGGAAATTGTTTTATTTATTCACTGCAAGCTCACAGGTTATGGGCCCAGTGTCGTTGTGTATCGCGGAAGAAACAATAAGTTAAAAGCGAAAGGTGAAAACGTGAAAATGGCTACAGCATCCGCTACAATGAATGTGAAACCGTTTGATGGTGTAGGTTTCACAAATTGGGAATTTAGAATGAAATTGCTACTGGAACATTACGAAGTATTGGAAGTACTAGAAAAGGATCCCCCAAGATCCAAAGGTAATAGCAGATTTTAAGAAAAAGGTCAATAAAGCAAGAAATGTTATTGTGCAATGCTTATCAGATAATATTTTGGAAATGATCAAGAATAAAATTTCTGCACAAGATATTATGACAGAATTAACAGGAACTTTCTTGAAAAGAGGAATTTCAAATTTGGTATATTTACAAAGTAAATTAAGAAACCTGAAATTTTCAGAAAAAGATTCATTGCAATAATTTATTATAGAATTTGAAAAGACAGTTTCAGATATAAGAAACAGTGGTGGGAATATTGAGGAAACAGAGGTGATTAGCCAACTCCTGGCAGCAATGCCATCTTCTTACAGCCCTGTAGTAACAGCAATGGATATACTGTACTGTCAAACAAATGCTAATATCTCCCTTGATGTTGTCAAAAATAAACTGCTAATGGAAGAAGAAAGACAACGCAGAAACAAAAATGAGATAGAAGACGGTCCACAAGTATTCATGAGCAGAAACTTTAGAGGTAGAGATAGAGGCAGAGGAAGTAACAGGGGAAATTATTCAGGTATGAGAGGCAATAATAATACATACAACTCTCATTCCAACTTTAGTAGTGCCACCTCTAGTAATAGTAATAATAGCAATTTTCCATTTAAATGTTACAATTGTGGAAAAAGAGGCCACAAGAAATCTGAATGCAGAAACAATCAAAATTCGAGCCAAAATAATAATTCTCAGGGTAGTTCTAGAAATCCTCAGTGCAATTTAACCGGAGAAAATGAAATAGCCTTCTTAACCAGTGACGATACAGCTTTGTCAACTGAAAAATCAATTATGTTTATTGTTGATAGTGGAGCTACAAACCACCTTGTAAATACAGAGGTGGGCAAATATTTAACTGATGTGTAAGAAATATTTCACATCACAAAATACAAGTAGCTAAGCAAGGCGAAACAATAGAGGCTTTTAAAGAAGGAACTTTGCATTTGGAAACAAATGATGGTAAAAACATTAAATTGGAAAAAATTTTGCTTTGTAATAATTTAACTCACAATTTACTATCAGTGAAGAAGTCTTTAGGGACTACAACTTTCCAATCATCTGAGGGAGAAGACATTTGAGGAATGAAAGGAAAAATTTATAAAGATTGCCATTTTGATTACGCCATAGAGGAAACTTTAGGGGGTTGTCTTCGACCTTTTGAAGCATTCCCAAAAACCATTTGTCACTTTATGATGTAGGGGTGTAAGATGGAGGAGTAAAATGGAAAACGGAATCAACAGCCATAGGTACCGCTCGAGAAAGAAAATCGGGAACTATATGGTCTTTGCCTTTCCAGTGGATAAGTTCAAAATCGAACAGTTGGAGACGTAACTGCCAACGTGCAAGACGACCTTGTGGATCCTTTAAACTATGAAGCCATAACAAGGATGCCTGATCAGTGATAACGATAAAATGGATGTGATCTAAATAGTGACGCAACTTCTCAACAGCCCAAATGACAGCAAGACATTCCTTCTCTATGACAGTCAGTTTCATCTCTTGCCTGGTTGAAGACCTTGACAGATAGCAAACAACCTTTTCACTCTCCTCGTGTTGTTGAGTTAAAACAGCTCCCAGCCCATAGTTAGAGGCATCGGTTTGTGAATAAAACATCCTGTCGAAATCAGGTGCAGTTAGAATTGGAGCAGTGACTAAACATTCTTTGAGTAATGGGAAAGATTTCTGGCAAGTCCAGGAGAATTTAACGTCCTTTTTAGTTAAATTAAGTATGGGTGCTAACACCGAAAAAAATTCTGGGACAAAACGCCGATACAATATGCGTCCTTTTTTGTATATTCATTGACCTGTCTAAAATCGATGCAAAATCTGAAGGATCCATCCTTTTTCCGAGCAAGGCACACAGGACTAGACCAAGGACTACTAGAACGCTCAATGACTCCTAACTTCAACATTTCCCCAACTTCGTCATCTATAAACTTTTGTTTGAAGGGAGAGACACCTTTGTTTTATGGGTCTTGTACCAGGATCTATAATGATTTCATGCTCAGCTACCTTGCAGCAATCGAGTCCAGTACCCATCTCTGCAATTTTCTGCTCCACCAGGGTGTCTAAAGAAGATCGTTCTGACGGAGTCAAATTGTCTCTATCTTGGATAGATAAAATATCAGTCTCACCAGCAGACTCAGAAAAATGCCAAACATCTTGTCTAAGATCTCGGATAATTTTCATGGTTTTCCAGAAGTCTACTCCAAGAATAATTTTATGTGAAAATTCAGGGAGTACGATGACATCAATAATGTGAGTTTTGTCCATTAAGCTTATGGGTGTCTGAATGTAACCTATACCTGTGCAAGTTTAGCCATTAGCCACAGTGCAAGAATTTTGTTGTTTTACCAACTTCAAACCTAAGCTCAAAAGAGTGTCATATCTAGGCTACCCAACTAGAGTACGACTAACACCTGAATCAAGTAGACCTAACATAGGATATCCCAATATTTTAATTTCAAGGTATGGACGCTGATCACCTTGCCTATGTGATATTAGTCCAAAGGAGCCTATTTCCAAAATCTTCAACCCTTCACACCCGCTGGGGTGTGTAGGAAAGAAATCTCGCGACCTAATGATTTCCCCTAGGATCGTTTCTCGAGTTACCACATTTAGGACAATTCCTAACTGTAACGTTAGGGTTACCACATCGATAGCAATGGGTTTTCCTAGTAGTCCAAGAGCCCAGAGCCGCCAGACACAACTTATTTTCTAAAGGACAGAATATGTGGGATTGAGTAGCACTTATAGGTACTATGAACGTATGTATACTCGCTAAGTTGGGTAGACGGCCAGTTGAATGTTATTTGTAAATAACGGTTTTTCCCATTATGGGAAAAACCGAATCCCATTTCTACTCTAGCCTGGAGTAGACTGTAAGTTTAAGAGGGGGAAATAGATATCTCGCTCCCTCTCAAACGCATGCATAGTAACCTCGCGCTCACACTCACGGAAAAACTATTATTGCGTCTGGGGGGATGTTTGGACGGTGCGATTGGTCTGGCTGAGCACACGTAGTTATGAAATAGTGTCCCCAATAACATGTATAAAAATCAAGCGTTAGAAAAAAAGTTAAAGTACTTTTTAAGCTTTTGCACCTGGTGTCGGTAAATTGGCCGTCTACCCAACTTAGCGGGTATACATACGTTCATAGTACATATAAGTGCTACACAATCCCAAATATTCTGTCCTTTAGAAAATAAGTTGTGTCTGGCGGCTCTGGGCTCTTGGACTATAGGGTTAGGACAATTTCTGTTTTAATGACCGGATTTCTGGCAATTCCAACAAATTAAATTGGGTGAATTACTTGATGGTCTTGACCTTTGAGGACCATTGTTGGGTAAATCTACTCTGTCAATGCCAAAGGAATCTGCAT